TCGCGACAGAGGCCAGAGTGAAGTCAGCAAAGCCCACGACGACAGGGCGCAGCAGGAGCGGTGTGCCTTGTAGAGGCCGGCGATGAGGCCCTCCGTGCGCACAATCTCCACGACAGCGCTCACTACGCTCTTGTACCGCCGCAGCTCTGACGTGCGTGCTGGGTCTGCTTGGAACCGCACCTGTTGGCACACACGCACACACACGCACACGCACACGCACACACACACACGCACACACACACACGCACACGACACACGCACACGACACACGCACACGACACACGACACGCACACACGGCGCTCTTGATAGAATCAGTCCAGCGCACTGTGTGTGGCAACAAGGGGTTGGGCTGGGCGCACCTTGAGCACGTCGGTCGGGTTGAACACGGCGGCGGCGATGGCGCCGCTCATCAGTCCGGCCAGAATCTTCTGGCCCAGCGCGATCTCTATGGACGCAGGCACGCCTCAGAATCGAGGCCACTACGCTGCCGCCACACACAGATCATACGACACGACACGACCAACGACACGACACGACACGACACGACACGACACGACCAACGACACGACCAACGACACGAGTGACGGGTACCCTTTTGGCCAGGACCGACGAGGTAGTTGCGGATGGGCTCTGCTCGTCATTAAAGATGAGATAATAATTTGAAAAAACAAATAAAAAGAGAGCATTTACCGTAGAGGCCCATGCGAGCGGAGGAGAAGGTCAGCTCGCGCAGCATTGACACCGAGAGTCTGCCAGGCCAGTGAGTGAGTGAGAGAGAGAGTGAAAGAGTGAGTGAGTGCAAAAATGAAGCAAGTTTGGTTCACCATGGTACCCTTTGAAGAGACCGCGCACGCCCTCGTTGCTGACGATGGTCACCGCTCCCTTCAATATGCCTGTGGTGATGAACAACCCAAATACTATACTATCAGTTCGCTGTGGCCCCACAAGAGAACAGGAGAAGAAGAAGAAGGAGATGAAAGTGCACACTGTGCCAAGGGGGGGCGCGCTACCGTCGTAGGTCTTGGGCGCGCCGGCCTTGGTGAGGGCGTTCTGTGTCTGGAACCGTATCTTGAGCACGTCCAGCGGGCTCACCACTGGCAAGTCGGTCGTCGGTCAGCGTCGTACACCCCAACACCCCAGCCAGTCGGGCAGGCCAGCTTCTTGAGTCAGAGAAGCAGAACAACCAGAAGAAGAAGGTGAGGGGAAGGAGGTACGAATGATGGCGAAGGCGTTGGAGGTGCCCCCCAGCATGCCGCGCAGCCACTTCTTGTCCGTCTCCCTCACCACATTCGTGGTGGTGGCGGCCGCAGGCGCGTTGTGCTGCGTGTGGGCCATGTCCCCCGCAGACACCCTGCGCTCCTTCCGCCTCGCGCAACAAACGTTTGGCCCAAATACAGGGAAAGAAATGACAACAATGAAGTTATGCGAAATATTTGCGGCATGCAGACAAGGCATGACGTCAGCATTCACCGAAATCTGTCGTCCCAGAATTTACGCAGAATAAAAAGTGAGGCCTTCTTCTTCAGAACGAAGAACGCGATGACGAAGAAAAAGTGTCGGGTCCACCAACGCTACCACAAAAGGCCACAAGTGGGACGATCAGCAAAGCACCAAGAACCACCAGAACCGACAGCAGCAAGAGGAGTTGCAGAAGCATCAAGATGCGCAGGCAAGGCGACAAGAGCAAGCACAGGGGCGGATGTTCCGGTCGGTGCGGCATATGCTCGCTTCACCCGGTGTCCAAGTCCAGCTGCAAGGCCAAGGGCGTCAAGCAGGCCCGCAAGCGCAACCTCAAGGCCGCCATCTACGATGAAGACACCTACTAGACCAGTCGCCACGACGACCATCGCCATCCAACATGTCAACATCACCCCTGTGTAGCGACACTTGTAACATTTGTACATTTTTTTATATAGATATGTCAACATCATGTAGGGCCAACTATGTTGGCTGACTTGGCGTCAGATGTCGTTGTAGATGAGGG